TTGATCTTCATTGCCCTCAGTGGTCTTTCTAAATCCTTTCTAGACTTACCCCGCAAAGCATGTACCGGTATGCATATTATTTTTGGGTTCCCATAGCTAGAATCATCTCATCAGATGCCGCTGTCCAGTGTGGACTCTAGGTCTGCTTCCTGTGTAAATGTCTTGGTAGCTTTTGTGCTTCCCCTCCACACCCCGCCCCCTCAGGCCGAGTGGCTTTCCTTAGTATAATGCCTCATGAAAATGATAAGAACGGGATTCTCCCTCAGGAAGTGTACATTCAATGACTGTGAATGCCAGAACTCAAGTGCCTAACTTCTTGGAATTTACTCTGAACAAGGTCCGCCTCTTCTATTTTTACCATGACTTCTTTCGCAAATGTTGATTTCTTAGAGGCTTATTCTCTTGATAAACACTTAACATCACAGAGAGACTGTTTTCGTGCATGGTAGAGTTTATACCGCGCTGTAAGCTGTGTGTTTTGTGCTGTCCAGCTGATTTGACTCAAGGCAACCCAGCGTGACAGAGCGGAACTCCCCTACAGGCTTTTCTAGGCTACAGTCTTTACGGGAGCAGATTGCAAGGGCTTTTCTCCCACAGAGAGGCTGATGGCTTGAACCACTGACTTTTCTCTGTCAATACCTGAACGCTGACGCTCTGGACCTCCAGGGCTCTCTCTGGGTCTGTGTTGTCATTGTTAGGTGCCAGTAGAGTGGATTCCTACTCAAGGTGACCCTGCGCCCCACAGCAAGGAATCCTGCACCGTCCGCACAGCCGTGCTGTGATCCAGCTCACTGCTGCTGCTCCGACGGTCCATCTTTGTGCGATTTTCCTCTTACTCGCTGACCCTCCACTTTACCAAGCAGGGTTGTATCCTTGTGGGATCAAAATATTTTTATTTCTCTTTTGGCTTTACTTCTTTATCAGAAATTTGATTTTAGCTTTTTTGGAAAAATACTTTTAAAATTGTAGTTCTTAAAGTAGTTTAAAGTTTCCAGGAAGGAATTTCAGACAACTGATCATTTATCTCTATTATGCTGTGTTGGTCAGTTCCTCCCCATTTTTACAACCTACTTCCCTGTGAATTTCATGAAGAATAACAGGAAATAATTCTACATTTGTTTCCTGCAGTCTTCTGGCCATATCCTGATTCACCACAATACTGAGCACATGAACATACATTTTTTTTAAATTATAATTTGCTTTTCCTTTTCACCTGAAGGTGTGTCTCTTTGTCATGAATTTGTTTCTTTGAAATAATAGGTGGTATGATTATGTCCTATTGGGCCTTGCTTCCATTAGAAGCAGGGCCATCACAAGGACACCCAAAAGAGGACAACACATATTTGACCTTGAACTGCTAGCTGAGAGAAGCCGTGGGGATTGCAATGGACACAGAAATAGTATAGCATTCTTGAGCACGACCATCTTCATGTACATTGACACAAGTGAGAAACACCACATGCCTTTATTGCTTGCAGTACTGTTGACTATAGACTAGCTGGGGAGTGTAGGGACTTTCTCATATTCAGCAGACCACTCTTTATGTTCTCAGAGGTTCTCATTTTCCTCTGAATTTCCAGTTAGATATAACCGAAGTATAATCAAGCTTTCATTTTCATTATGTTTTCACAATGGTTATTTGTTGCTTGTGTAACTTCAATTAAATTTGATCTTTAATTTTGATGCTTTCAGGGTTTTATAAGAATGCTTGTGCTAGTTTCAGACAATTAGTATGAGAGTGTGGTCTTTTTTTATTTTACGTTTTTAATGTAAGTGCTACACTTTCTCTTTTTTTATTTAAATAATTAAATCATTTTATTGGGGGCTTGTACAACTCATCACAATCCACACATACATCCATTGTGTCAAGCACTTTTGTACATTTGTTGCCCTCATCATTCTCAAAACATTTGCTTTCTACTTGAGCCCTTGGTATCAGCTCCTCATTTCTCCCCTCCCTGTCTGCTCCCCTTCCCCCATGAACTCTTGATACTTTATAAATTATTATTATTTTGTCATATCTTACACTGTCCGACATCTCCCTTCACCCACTTCTACACTGTCCGTCCCCCAGGGAGGAGGTTATATGTAGATCCTTGTAATCTGTTCCCCCTTTCTCCCTTACCTCCCTTCCACCCTCCCGATATTGCCACTCTCACCACTGGTCCTGAGGGGTTCATCTGTCCTGGGTTCCCTGTGTTTCCAGTTCCTATCAGTACCAGTGTACATCCTCCGGTCCAGCCAGATTTGTAAGGTAGAATTGGGATCATGATAGTGGGAGGGAGGAAGCATTCAACAACTAGAGGAAAATTACATGTTTCATCATTGCTAAACTGCACCCTGACTGGCTCGTCTCATCCCCACGACCCTTCTGCAAAGGGATGTCCAATTGGCCACAGATGGCCCCTGAGTGCCTACTCTACACTCCCGTTCATTCATAATGCTATGCTTTTTTTGGTCTTTGATGCCGGATACCTGATCCCAGCAATGCCTTGTGATCTCACAGGTTGGTGTGCTTCTTCCATGTGGGTTTTGTTGTTTCTCAGCTAGATGTCTGCTTGTTTATCTTCAAGCCTATAGGACCCCAGACTCTATATCTTTTGATAGCCAGGCACCATCGGCTTTCTTCACCACGTTTGCTTATGCACCCGCTTTGTCTTTAGTGATCATGTCGGGACAGGCTGGTGTGCTTCTTCCATGTGGGTTTTATTGTTTCTCAGCTAGATGGACGCTTGTTCATCTTCAGCCCTTTAAGACCTCAGATGCTATATCTTTTGGTAGCGGGCACCATCAGCTTTCTTCACCACATTCGCTTGTGCACCTATTGTCTTCATCGATCATGCCAGGAAGGTGAGCATAGTAGACTGCTGAATTGTTAGAACAAAGTATTCTTGTGTTGAGGGAGTATTTGAGTAGGGGCCCACAATCCATCTGTTTCCTTAATACTCAACCTATAAATATAGGTACATAGATCTATTTCCCCCTTGTCTTTTACATCTGTATATGACTTGTGTATTTAGATCTCTATAAATGGAGAGGGCGATCTTTTTAAAACTCCTATAAACATGTAAACGTCACCTAAGCATATGGATCTATATGAATCTTCCATGTCTAATAAACCAAATCTAAGTGGGGGATGCTGGCTGGGGATGAGGGAGTGGGAAGAGGACAGACTAGGCAGTTAAGGAATGAAGAGTAGTGGCTCTGTGTTCAAGAAGCCAAAGAAACTGGAAACGTAGTGTAAGGAAAAGCACGTAGCCTGAGATCAATGTCTGTGTATTATACACCTGCAGGTGCTAGCTCAATCCCTTCTAATTTCACATAATCGAAGTTTTCTCTTTGAGAAGGCAACCAGGAATGGAAATCACTGCCTAATAATATGAAGGGAAAATAAGTACCATCAAGCCCCAGAAGTGATTGCTACTTTTAATTGGTATTTGTGTCATTTTAAGAAGCCCTGGTGCTGCCGTGGTTCAAGCACTAGCTGCTCTCTGAGAGGTCAGCAGTTCAGCCCTCCTCCCAGCCACTCTGGGGAGGGAAGATGCAGTCTGTCTCTGTGTTTGGCCGGGTTGACTAGAGAAACCAATCCAGAGACACTCACATGCATGTGAGAAAGAGCTCGATATCGAGAACACATCTGTAAGCCCCATGCTAGTCCAGAAGCCCCTCTTCAGACTCGCACAGCCATATGCAAACATGCAGACTGCAGGAAGATCCCAGGCCAGTGAGTGCAATGTCCTGTGGATCCACTGGCGGTGGCTCTGGCAGGTCTCAGAGCGGCTCTCCAGCAGCCAGGTAAAGGCAAAGAGAGAGCAGAGGTTCCCAGGGCCCTCCTCCTGAGGAGGCGCTATATGGCTGTGACCTGACTGACAAGTTGAAGACCACCCTCCACGTTTATGTATCTTCAAGTTGACGTGAAATTATGTAACTGCCTCCGTCTCCATCCAGACCTACTGCCTTGGGAACCCCACAGGGCGGTTATTTTCTGCCCTGCTGCTGCTGGGAGTCGGGATTGCCTCCAGAGTGTGAGTTAGTCGGGTTTTGTGTTCTTGTATGGTACTTAATTAGAACATATTAATTCTCATTTGGCATTTTACCATTTGTTGAGTTGGGCCATGACCCATCCCCATTCAACAAACACTCATTTGTGGTCGTTCTCTAAAGGCATAAAACTATTGTTAAACTCAGGTAATTCAGTATTTCAAAAGCTGTAGAGAAGTGATGTCCTTGTGGAACTTTAGGCAGAAAGCTGAATTGAAGCACCTATTTGGAAACATAATTTCAGTTTTTGATTTGTTTTTTTTGTGTTTTACACTAAACTTGAGAAGCCTCACAGTTTCTTTTGGTTTCTGTTTTTAGCAGATGGCCCATACCTTCAAATATTAGAGCAACCTAAACAGGTAAGAGGATTGAAGGGGTGGGACTACTCATTTAAATAGTAGATTAGTAAGCTTAATATTAAGTTTCAAGCACTGTATAATAAATGGATTTTGTGAAGTAAGTAGCTTATCTAGAAGCACAACAACCTGCCACATTCTATAGCAATCTCATACATCCTCCTAACGCTTCTCTTTGTCATTCTTCAAATTGTCTCCAGCCTCACTACATAGTTCAGTAAATCTCTGGTTAATTATAGAGCCTTGGTATCCTGTTATCACTACCAAATTAGCTTGCCAGCCACTCCCAGGAAAGGCATAGGTTATCTGCATTCATTGGTAAGGAAATACGCAGACATGCCGTTCACATATATTGTATTACATTCATCAGTTTATATCCACATGCTCACACATGCTGTATTTAGCCTTCTTCCCCTCTATTAGCTTGGGCCTTTTCAGAAAAGCTTCTGTCTTTGGAACATACAGCTGAACATCTAAAAGTAGCAGTAGGAGGTAGAGCAAGTTTGAGAATGCTAGTTGGAATCTGTTCTGTCTGTGGAATCTGTTGGAATCTGTGTTAGTTTTAGACAGCCTCTTCAGAGTCGCACGGCAAACATTTTTTGTATCCAGCTCCAACTCCCCTAGATTCTGTGGAGAGGAGAGCCAGGAAACAAAGAGTCTTTAGATACAAGTTTGCTGGAAGTTGGTTGGGGCCAGGGCTTTGAGCAAAGAAGAAAGAGAATCTTTAATATCTGCCTGCAGTAGGTTTCAGTTGTTAAGGGATGGTGGTATTGTTCTAGTTTCCTAAGGAATGAGGACAGAAAGAGGGAAACTCTTCAGTAGATATGCTGATCACATCCTACAGATACCTCGACCTGCCTCTTGCAGTTGCCTTCCTGTATTTGTCTCTCCGTGTTATTGCAACAAATAGTAATTGCTTTAAAGAACAGAAAAATATTTTCTCACCACTTAGGAGGCATGAAGTCCAAGTTTCAGGCTCTTGCTATAGGGGAAGACTCTTATTGTGCCCAACTCTGAGGGAAGTCTTACCTTCCCTTCCCGGGCCTTGGCTTTCCTTGATTTTCTTGTCAATCTCCATATGGCATCAATCTTTCAGCTATTAGTGCTTATTTGCTTACTGTGTCTAATCTGCTCTTTATATTCCATAAATGACTCCATACAGTTAAAACACAATTTACATTCACTTGGCATCACGACGTAACCGAAAGTCTTATTCTCAAATAGGATTCCAACCAAAGGTATGAGTTTGCATTCCAACACAAAATTTGGAGTTAGGCAATAAAATTCATAATAATTGGCCAATTGGCCCCCAAATAGTGTGGGGCATGCTTGTTTGCTTTAAAGCTCATGTGAATGAGTGTAACACCTTGCATTGGAATATTTTAACAATTGCAAAGTAGGTCAAGGATGTAAATGAAAAGCATACATTGTGTATGTGTTTGCAGTTAGTCAACATTTAAAGAATATCAATATGTTTTCTCTGACTAACAGATAGGGATACAGTCCAAATCATGTGAAGTTCTAATTTTGACCCAGTTGCTTTGGGAGTGGCTCACTGACTCCACAGCCTAGCAGGATGGCTTTGCTTTATTGCCATGTCTGCTTCCATAGCAGTGATTTCTCACAGGAAATTGCCAATTCTTCTAAAGGTTCACCCACTGGAAGTTCATCCTCTAAAATTCCAGTAGTTTAGCTCTTAGAAAAATGGCCTGGTTTATCAGATCTGGATAATCCATGAAATTGAGAAACTCATTTAAATTTTATGTGTCTGTTTACCAGACTAGGTGTATTCCAAATATCCTTGTCATAAGCCTGGCAAAGGGGGAAGAATTAAATGTATTTTCATATCAAAAGCTCAGTAGTCATAAGGAAAAGAGCATTTATGATTTACCTAATAGATCGATTTAATTCCCAAATTCAGAATGTAATCCACTATATAAATATGAGTAAATGCTCACATGAATGAAACCATTGTATTTGTTTACCAAACTACTGATTATTTTGATGTCTGGCCACAGTGAAAGTAAAGGTTGGATTTAAGTCACACTTTCTGACCGGAATGAATGCAGCCTTCCCTTTGAGGTTGAAGACTCATTTTAAGCAAATGGAATTACTGAGATGAATGGCTGTGGATTGGTAAACCTTTCATCTCAGAAACCTAGAATCAGAAACACATGCAGATCATACATTTGAAGATCTCTTATCTTCCTAAAAATAAAAAAAAAGGTTATACATTGTTATCTGCAGGATAAAAATTCTTCTACAGGTAACTTAAGATATTATGCAACCATGAATAATATCTCCTAAGTGTTTGGCCAATTATAAGAAAGCTGAAAGGCATGCCTCTCCACCTGTAGTTCATGTAGGACAAACCAGTAAGATAGACTAATGTACATGAATATATTGGTCCAGTTGCTCCAAAAGTATTTTCAATGCTTTATTAATTTTTTAAAAGGTTAAACAAATGTTCTTTTTTCTTCCTGGCCTTTTTACCACAGACTTTCCCCAATGCTGACAGAGATGAGTCATAGCATAGATTACTAATCTTTAGAATCTAGTTCTATTGTATATTATTCAGTGTTGATGATCTTACACTGTCTAAAACCTGAAGTGATGTTCAAATTGGTTAGCAGTCAAGCAAATCTATATCTTTATGGTTAGCCGAGTTGGAGGCTAAATGCTGTACATGCTGTTTTTATCTTCACACTTTTAGAAATGTCATTTAATCACCCTAACTAAACTAAGAGTAGCTGCCTGCAAAAGATGTGGAGTTCAATTTTTAGCTTGTTTCTTCATTAGAGTTTTGTCAGAAGTAAAATTGGAGGAGTAGCCCTAAAATGACTAATCTGACCTCAAAAGGCTTCCCTGATAATGATGAGGTTTCAGATGTCCTGAGCAACCATATGCAAGAGGTGACTCAGATGCCAGCTATTAGGAGTTAACCGAACACTGCAAACCCATGTGGGATTTGAGGAACTTTTTACAGACTTGGATATTTATTACAGTCCTCTGTTCATTCCAGAAATATGCTCTAGTATTGATTATCTTTGGAAATTATTAAGTTCTCAGAGAATATAAAGAAATTCTAGATGCCTTCTAGAGACTTAAAATAGTTCTGAGCATTTGGGCTAGAGACTATTGTGCAAGACCCTATGAAGTAGAATGCTGCCTACAAACCAAACTCGCTGCCATCAAGTCAGTTCTGACTCATAGGAACGGGGTAGAACTACTCCATTGGCTCTCCAATGCTGTAATCTTTATGGAGGCAAATGACATCATCTTTCTTCCACACAGCAGCGGGTGGGTTCAAACCACCAAACTTTTCAGTTAGCAGCTAAATGCTTATTTATTGTGTCATCAGAGCTCCTTGGTATAATGCTACTTAAAAAACAAACCAACAAAAAACCCTCACTACCATCGAGTCAATTCTGTCTCATAGTGACCCTGTAGGACAGAGAACCACCGCCCCTTTGGGTTTCTGCAACGGAAACTCTTTAAGGGAGTAGAAAGCTTCATCTTTCTACCACAGAGCAGCTAGTGGTTTCAAGCTGCTGACCTTTCCATCAGCTAAGAAAGGCAAACAATTTATAGTAGTCAATGATAGCAAAGTTACTAACAAAACCAGGCGTGGTGGACAAGGGTATAAGTTCAGAAACTCCCCCAGCAAGTACTCCGCATGTGGGTTGCTCCTTATGATCTAAATGAGCTAGCACACTTTAGTTGAAGTAGTCAGTCTGACAGTAAAAAGAAATGAAGGTGAGAATGTTCCTTAAAGTATGTTAGCATATTGTTGTTTTTACCAAAGGGTAAATTTGAAAGAACAAAAACAACAACAACAAAAACACAATAAACTAGTTCATTGTATGATTATCAAATAGCATTATCCAAAATGCGTTGACATCATTTTTAAGTGGTTATATAGGTTATCTTTCCGAAAATGCAACAAAAATTTTCTTAATGTGGTGATGAGGTTCATTTGAAGAGCTGGCCTTGTTTTGTTCTTTAAATATTAACCTGAAACTTATAATTAAGTGTGTGTTATAAGGTACAAAATGCCACAACTGGAGTAGACCTTTAAAAATCTGATCTAATTGATTAATTTGTATAGATGAGAAAACATGACACCTAGGTGTTTATCAAAGAGCCCTGGTGGTGCAGTAGTTAAAGCGTTCAGTTGCTAACTTAAAGGTTGGTGTTCAAGCCCACCAGTTGCCCACCAGAGAAACATGCGGCTCTCTGATTGCAGCCTTGGACGCCCAATGGGCAATCTCTGTGCTGTAGGGTTGGCATGAGTCAGAGGAGTATCTTTGATGGCAGTGGTTTGATTTTTGGTATAAATGTGTATCACCGTACAGCATTTCACTTAATAAAGACTTCATTAATTAGCTACACCTGTAAACGTCCTATGTCATCAGTTATATTTCAGAAGGCTATCTGGTTGTATATTCATGTAGATCAGTTAACATATTGAGCTTGGTTATAGTGTTAAGTCAGCAATCTTATATTCTGGATAAGGTGGACCAGATGCCGAGTCTACCGTCGGGTGGGTCTGCACAGGCACTTCTAGATTCCCTCCCAAGCCAACTGTAATCAGAGCCGATGATGAATTCCTTTAAGTAAAAGTCACCGAAGCATAATGTTGAACAGCTTGGCATTGGCAATTTAAGATGAGGAAGCTCTGATTCAAATAAGCCTTAGCATGTCAAGTCAAAAGCTTCAACCCTTTAGCAATCTCTTCTTCACACATGCAAAGCATGACCGATACTTCCTCATTAAGGACCTGGCTGGTAGCCACATTTCACTGCACAGACATCATTGTTCACTGTGGGGAATGCGATATTCACCTATTGAAGCCCTTCTCTTACCGTTGTCTTTGCTCAATGATACATGCAGGAATTAGCATTTCGCAGTGTTTTCACGATTCTTGTTCATAAGTGTTTCTCACCCTTGTTGGTGCCCACCTTTGCAGAGAGGATTTCGTTTCCGTTATGTATGTGAAGGACCATCCCACGGTGGGCTTCCTGGTGCATCTAGCGAAAAGAACAAGAAATCCTACCCTCAGGTCAAAGTAAGTCCATGGTAGCCTTCTATGATATTCTGGAAACAGTCATTTTTGAAGAGTGAAATCAAGTCACTGATTTAATTGAATATACCTGGCCTTTGCCCCAAAGCTGAAGTGTTCACATGATTATAATAATCTTTAATAAAAAGTTATCTCTTGGTGATAATGGTGACGGGCTTTAAAACCATTCATTTTCATTTGTAGAAATTACTTTAACATTAGCTAACTTAAAACATGTACTGTTTCTCAATCATCATAAAGGTGCTTTTGTTTTTTTCTGATTGTGTACTTCATGAAATGGTCTTTCTTTAAATGTTTTAAAGAAATGGCTGGATGGTAGGATGTGAGAGACAGTGAAAAAGCAGATGGCTGTATATATGAACTATATTATTATTTAAGATCAGGAGTTTAGATGCTCTGTAGCTTTGAGGAGGTTACTAAATACTTCAAACCTCATCATCTTGACATGTAAAATGAAGAACTATTCATAGTGCATACTTCATAGGGTTGCTTAGTGATTAAAGAAGAATAACATGTGTAGGGTCAGTAGCAGAGAGAGGTAGATATCGGTGATTGGTGGATGGTTAGGTTTCAGGGAATCGTCTTAGATAATTGTGAGGTCTGTTATCGTCATAGGAGCAGATTATTAGATCTTTTCTCCTGCAGAACCACTGTGTGAGTGCAACAGCTACCTTCTCATTTTGCAGCACTGGGGTTCATTGGAGATGAGGTTCCCACCCCCTGCTCTCGACTTGATTCTGACTCATAGCGGCCCTGTGTGAGGTTTCTGAGTCTGTACATCTTTATGGGCGGGAGCAAAAATAGGTTTATGTTTCTCCCTCTGCTGACTGATGAGTTTGAACCACCAACTTGAGGTTAGCAGTCCCAACACCTAAACCGCAGTGCTACCAGGGCTCAGTAAGTACAAAATCTGTAGGGCAAGTCGGCCAGGTGGAAAAGACAACAGGAGCTAAGGCTCCCCTTCACAGGCATTTCTTCTCCCTCAGGAAAGCCTGTTTTGTTCTTAGTTCCATTCAGTTCATTGGATGAGGGCCACTCACAATCATCTCAAAGATTACCTCCTTTACTTAAAGTAGATTGCAGATGCTAAACATCTACAACAGAGTTTCCCAGTGTGAGCAATCTCTAAAAGCTAGAATGCCTTGAGGGGAATGTGAAAGCAGATACCTACACTTTATCCTGAATTTTGGACTATAGCAAAACAATGTTTAATTGCCGGGAGGATACTGAGCAAGTTGTTTTCTGAAAAGGGTGCAGTAGGCCAAATGAGTTTGGGAACCTATGATCTACAAGAGACTCTTCATCCCAACACTGAGTTTAGTGTTTGATCGAGGAACTGAGTACTGTAAACCAGCCCTGGTGGCACAGTAGTTACGTGTTGGGCTGTCAGCAGTTGGAAACCACCTCGGAAGAAAGATGAGGCTTTGTATTCCTATAAAGAGTTACAATCTCAGAAGCCAGAAGGAGCCCTCCTACCCTGGCCTACAGGGTGACTATGAGTCAGTATCCACCTAACAGCAGTAAGATTGAGTTTTTGTTTTGCTTCTGTTTTTGATAACCTAGCCAAGTTGCTCCTATGGCTTCCAACTATGGGTTCAAATAGTTCAGTCATGACCAATGGAAGAAAAGGCAGCACTGGAATTGCATAACAACTCAATCTTATGCCCATTGAATTTCTACCTAAACAGGCAACAGGCAGTGCAGCCCTACTCTAGCTTATTGACCGAGCATGTGCCACTTTGAATGTGGCCACCTTCTTTGACTGAGCATTACTGCCTATTTCCTCCTCTGTTGAAAATCCAAGAGAACTGGTTGCTATGCAACATGTGTACTGTTTTTGTTAATTTTGACCACAACTGAACCATTTTGAACCTGTTTGAAGTTCTGGTTGATATGTGCAAGTAACTAGGGAAATGCTCTTTAGAGAGCCTGGAAGTGCTCACAGCCTACCCATATTTGAGCAGATGTCAATCTCGTGTTGGTCAGTTTGAACACACTGCTTCCTCTCATGCCTCACACCTCGATCTCTTTTCCACAGCAAGAGACAAAGTACACTGATGTCCTTTTTTACCCTGTGAATCAAACTCACCCATGCTATGTACTATATCGTATTAGGCCTCCCAATCGTATTTACATTTTAAATCTCTTACTACCAGTTGTAGAACCTGTTGGTGTATTGGGCTCTGCCCACCACGGCTGAACTACTAACCACAAGGTCAGAAGTTTGAATCCACCACATGCCCACGGAATAAAGATGGGGCTGTCTGCTCTGATGAAAATTGGAACGTGTCAGATCTGAAAGGGCAGTTCTGTTAGGTCTTACGGGGTTGCTATGAGTCAGAAATGACTCAATGACAGTGAGTGAGTAGCAATTGTGAAATGACAGATGTTTTTCCTATTAAAGTTCATCATGTAATGTCTTTAGATCACAGAAGCAAACCAGTCTTATAATCTCAAATGTTTTAGAAACTAGAAGAAGGATGAGGAAGAATGATAAAAGGGAAATTTTGAATTTTATTAAACACCAAACTGGGCCAAATAGTTTTCAAACACAATCTCTTCTAATCCTCCTAATAACCCTGGTAGGTAAAAAGTTTCCTGAGGAAACTTGGCCTCAGAGAAATGAATTAGCCTACTTTTGTCATAGGACTATTGTGTGTCATTCAATCGATTCTTACTTCGAGTGACACTGGAGAAGAACTAAGCCATAAGGTTTTCCCAGACTGTAATTGTTACAACAGCCGAGTGTCAGGCTTAGGACTAGTGACAGTTTATTTTAAAGCAGACTAGAGAGCCCCATCGTGTGTCAGGCCTTGGGCTGCTAATTAGAAATTCAGGGCATAAATCCCCCAGTGCTCTTTGGGGAAAGACCAGGCTGTCTGCTCCTGTAAAGGTAGAGTCTTGGAAATCATGTGGGGCAGGCACTTCTAGGCTGCCTCACGGGGTCACTGTGAGTTCAGTAGACTAGATAGCAGATAAATGCTGATTGATTATTGAGCCTCTCATAGAACGTGTGCATTTGAAGTGCTAAGCATCAAGGGTGAAGAAGCCAGAGCGTAGGTGTACAAGGATGAAAGAAGGTACAAGGAATTGCAACTTTGGAGAATAAGGGACAGAGCCCCTCAGAGGCCAAAGGGAACTCAGATACTTGGGAGTCAGATACAGGACTCTGTCTTTTTAACATGGGTCTATAACATGTACAAATATCTTATGTGTTGATCTGTAAATGTATGACAAGGGAATAATTCTGTGCTTATTCTCAGCCTTCATATGGTCTCGGGTCATAGTTATCTGTTCTGAATATATTGTTGCCTCATAATAATTTAGAAATATGACCATTTAATGTATGTTAGATGTTATTGCTAAAAATGATAGTTTCTTTACTAAGAAACAATGGGAAATGAAAATAACAATAAAACAAGATATAATAAATAACGCAAGATAAAAATGTGGGAGATTGGCCATTATTAAGTTCATCGACAGCTTCATTATTTCCATCTAATATTTCTGCTCTCTAATTCAGCATATATCTATTAAGCATTTGTTCAAGTTGTGAAAACAAGGAGGAACTTGAGCTTAGAGAAGCTCTCCTGGTTCCCGATGAGCAGTCACTGTAGTTAAATGGTACAATATTAAACGTAAGGAAGCAATTAAGGGAAACTTTTACCCTAGAAACCCTTTATTTAGCTTAGAAGGATAGGAGGAAGAAGAGAAAAAGACAGCCACGAAGTTTTCTCAGAGCTTTTTCTTCCAGCGTCACTCCATCAGTCTTCATCTTGAAGGGTAATTAGGAGAATTTGTCACTTCCTGAAGGGATTTAAAATGCCTTTCCTTGTATGATTCAGGCAGAGGAAAGAGTCATTGTTAGTGTATGCCTCTTAACACGAGGATATTTACCGTGTACCTGTCTTTTTGCAGTTTAGTCAGGTGTCTGTGGTGTGGAGCTCTAAAGGAAGTGGAGACCTCTAGACTAGGGTTTCTCAAATCTAGTATTATTGCTATTGGAGGCTGGATAATTCTTTGTTGTAAATGGCTAGCTATCCATTCTAGGTTGTTTAAAAGCATTTCTGGACTGTACTCCTTAGACACCACTAGTATCCCTACAATTGTGAAAACCAAAAATGCCTTTAGACATTGTCAAATGTGTGTGTGTGTGTGTGTGTGTGTACACACACACACATGCACATGCTTGTGCAAAATTGTTCATGACTAAGAACAACTAACCTGGCTGAAGTGTTAAGTAGACAGATTTAACTTGGCTCTTGTTTTGCATCCTTAAAGCTAAATTAGAAAGCTGTACCAGATAGCTTTCTGAGATACCATAAAGCTATATCAGAAAATTATATATGGAATTGTGTATGGGAAATGATATATATGTCCAATAATATGGAATGGACACATTTCTTATTTACAAGCAAATGTTCTTTTCCTTTTGGCCAGTAGATATTTCTTATTTTTAAGATAATGACCTTGGTGTCTGTATAATTCTCCTAGAATCTCTTGAGTACTTGAACATTAAAGCAAAAGACAAAAAAGAGAAGCAAGTTATTGTAAACAGTCTATATTCTAGAATATCTGCTGCTAAGAGTTAATGTAGGCATTCTATTGGTGATCTGTTATACATCATTACAGAAGAGAAAGTGAAAGTGGAGATGGGCATCAGTCCACACCCGAACTGCAGACCAGCTACATTTAAACAATGGGGCATCTGTGGAAGGGATCTTCACTCTCCCCTTTGGGTGTGAGGAGGGGATTGTAACGTTCCCCACATTCCTTCAGAATCCACTGCAACAGAAACTATAGAGAGAGGGATTTTATATTTACTGAAGAAAATGATGCTGTCAAAGATTACCAGTGAACCAATTACCATAGAGTAGATTCCAACTTCTGTTGTGCGTGCGAATAGACCTGTGTTCCAATCAGGACCCATGACTGTGGTCTTCCAGGAAATTTCCAGGCCTTTCTCCTGAGGTACTTCTAGGTGA